TCATAGAGTATTGAATAAATTCCGAGTTGCTGTGACAATCAAATAAGAGCATGGTTGAACCATTGATTTCAATGATCACCCTGGTGTTAAAGTTTTGGTGCGCCAACACTCCGGCTGCATGGACGAGTTTTCACTGTTCTTAAAATTAATACAGAGCTGATAAGAACTGATTTGACAAGAAATTTTATGGCTCTTATTATTAAGGCATGACTTGCTGAATGCTGATTCGCTAGCAGTTATGCCTTTCTGACATGTGCTGACCTTGATAGGTCGGTTATAGCTATTAACTAATCAATTAAGAGGTGATCTGCCACAAAGTCGCTTCTATCACAAATTCCCTTAACCGCTTCAGAGTCCTCGTCTGCTTCAGATTGTTAGAAGTGTTAATAAAGGTCAAAAAAAGGTAAAGGGTGAAAGGTGTCAAACGAAAGGACCACGTTCATTTCGGGAGGCTTAATCGAATAAAATGCTATTGGCGTTGAACTGGGTGAGCTTTATCCTGGCTGATTAGGGTGTATGATTTGTCGAAACCGGAAGCGGGAGTAAATCAAATTTTGTGAAGAAGCTCTAATTACTCGACGAACTATCGAACGTTGAATGTTTGTGACGATTAATTTAGCAATGACCTTCAGCAAATGCATTTTGTTCCGTAATCGGTGGTTAACAATTTGTGCTTTTGTATCTTTTAGATTGCTATTCAAATTTTGTAATTCATCAGATTTGACATTGTAGAATCCGTGTACCTTCTGAACTCTTGATTGTAGTGAGCTTTCTTAATTTCTAGAAAATAATTTTCTGCAATTATTTTTGATTGCATTGCTTTCAAAACACGAATAATGAATAATATGGCCAAGAATAAATGCGCCGAAGAACATCCAAACCATTAATTCAAAGACTTTAAGGAATTTGACTTATTCTCCTGTACATAAATATAATAAGTATTAAAAGACGACCATCTGCACAAATTTCTGGCCACGTTATCGGCAATCGAGCAGATGCAAAAAAATATTGAGATCTAACGGTTCACAATCAACTAGCACCCAGAGTTTGTGCTGCATGTGCCTTAACAAGAAATTTTATCTTAAATATTATGAAAGAATGTGAAATGGCATAAAGTCCTTCTGCTTTCAAATTACAGCTCAAAATTCTGTGAAACAGTTTGTGATAAAACACGGTAGCTCATCTTGACCATGTCACGTTTTGAAAAATGACCTCTAGAAAGGGAAGACATGTCGATGAACCTCCATTATTGGTGCAAATTCATATGAATTCTGCTCGCCATGAACCACCACGAAAACGGCAATGTCCAGAATAATGATGTAGGTGCTTTCATTATTCGTGCAGACCTGTTATGAATCTTAAGACGGTTGGTTAACGAGGCAATATTATGCAAGAATGACAGAGCTCTGTGTTCCTATAAAGCAAATTTATCTATGAAATGGATGTTATGACTGCAATTTTAAAGGAAGGGATGGGAAACATGTCGATTATAAGTTTTCAACACAGATATATCGAACTTTCTACTGCATTTTTTCGGCTGAATAGAAGATGACAGTTAGTGTGCAAAGCGAATGGAGGATCTGATAAATACTTAACAAATAATATGAGAAAGATAACGATTGTGAAGACAGCAGATTTGGTGAAAAAATTTACTCGAATTTGCACGTCACCATATTATCACTTCTTGACCGTGGGATAATACTTATGGCTGCCACCTGTAAATTCTAATGGTGGTACAGAATAATCAACTCTCTCAAATGCACTTCAAAGAGGAGGGCAATTATTTGAAATGTGGAAACCAAGTGGAAGAACCAAAATTTATCAACGCTGAGTTAAAAATTTGAGAGTCAGCAAAACAACAGTTGTCTAGCTTTGAACCTCTACATGACCTTATTTGCTCATTTCCAAATTTATCTTAAATGTCTTGACAAGTAGTAGTCAAACAAAGCGGCTAGTTAAGTCTTAAACAAAGTACTATACGCTGCTACTAATAATAAAATATTTATTAACAAAGGGTTGTTAATTTTTTGTGAATTTCTTCCGCTCGATAAGAAAAAATGTTGCGTTTTGATCATTGTTAAACCAACGTCATAAGATAGGTTTCCATCATTCACCAATAATTGGAATATTTACAGTGAATTCCATATTGAAATTGCAGATGACATCAGTGTTTCTAGCACTTAGTTTTCTATAACATAATGCTTTCAGGTAAACATTTCATCAGTTTTTTTCAAAAGCCCGTAACTTCAGAAGACAGAGATCTCTTAAATGATTCAACTTCCGAGATGGAAGGGAATTTTGATGGTTTGGATTTTGAAGCAATGTGCGGCCCAATCTTTAATATAATCGAGCCATATGATAGGCGGTCGATTGGCGCTGGATAAATGTTTTTACAGATTATTATTTCTCATTTGGCAGACTGAGAATATCTTCTCGCTTAATTATAACAGCTGACAAATACATGCACTTCTTTCATCTGCTGATGCAAACAGTTTGTTTTTATTTCTGATCATTCTAAGACTACTCAAAGTTGCCTGAGCATCCTCCTAAATAGTGAATTGTGAAAACAGCGGAAAACTAGATTCTTCATAAGAAGCTCATTTTGAGAGGTCTATGACAAGAAGGAAAAAAAAAGAGTTTGTAGCCACTGGGATACTGGTACCTTTGCACTTTAATGAGTACGAGCCACTTGTGGCGACATTTCTAATGAAGGCTGTGGCTTTATGCCTTCAGCTAGCAATGTCGCATCTTAAAGCAGAGCTTACAAGCATGTGGCGTAATCGCCCATGCCCTTTCAGGAGTAGAGCCAATTTATCATCCTCTGAAAGAAGAAGCAAAGTGTCCCAACCGTAAGAACGTACACAACGATCGTGAGCACTCGAAGCATTTGATGCTTACCTTTTCGTTCTGATACGCTGTCACGGCGATGAACTCGGTCTCTTTGAACACGAACGTACGGAAGGTAGAGAACGGCAACTTCAAGATGTCGTTGGCGTGCACAATGTGGAATCTAGGCTGATACTTGTGCATCGAGTTCAGGATTGTCTGAAACAGTGAAGTGAAGTGTGTTTTATCCAGCACGACAACAGAGGGACAATGTATGAAAGGCCAGAATTGAGTGGAGGATAAAACGAGGAATTTTGCAACCGAACCTTTACACAACGATAAACGCAATACATCATTGAAGGAAGGTAAAAAAGAAGCAGGCACAGAGGGGGCTTGAGTTAAGGAAAGATGCTCAGAGGGCTGTTTTTGCCGAAGTCTGATGACTGGGGTCGGCAGCGACGAAGTTTGTCGTTCTGTCGTTGGACAGATAGGACGACGACGGTTTTTCGTTCCCTTGCTTCTGTTTACAGAACAATGTAAGCCAACGCAATGCAGCACATCTAGACGTTATCGCTGACTATCGAATCCATCTTAGCAATGGATGAAGCTGATGTGACGGCGGTTCGTTTGACGCTGTCCTCTGACAAACATTGTCGCCATTATCACTCGCGTTTTACCGCTGCCTGCGTGCGATACGGTCGCCTAGCGGCGACAAACAGCGCCAAGGCACCGGGTGCCGGCGCCCTGTAGAACATTAGGCTTAGAGCAAGTCTGACACTTTTTTGACCGACAATGATGATAAAGTGTAAAATTAAAAGTAAGAGATTAAACACACCGCAAGAGCATGCGGACAAGTAAGCAGAGATGCTCTTCACGCGCCGGATTGCGAACTTTTCAAGAACCAACAGAGTCCAGTAAACCTTAGCACTGGTGAACAAAAATAGTCCTTTGGAAAACCCTTAAAGACATAAAATACTAGTTTAATCTGCATTCTGTGAAAGTGCAGACACATTTCATGGGCCTGCATAATTCTAGAGTAACCGACGCGCTTGTATAAGCTATTAAATATGATTTGAAAATCGCTTTTTCCTAAGTGGGCAAATACTTCTTTTAAACGGCATCGATAATTGTACCATCGTGCATTTTTGGCCATGCTAACCACATTCCTCAAGCAAAAAAGCTCAGGTTTACATTCTAGTATTCTAGCCTGTTAGCGATACTACCTTAATCCATGGACAGCGATGTTTGATATTCGCTGAGCGAGTGTGATTCAAAATGCAGGCATCAGCAATGAGGCTTCTTATAAGGATTGCTCAGTGGCGCGATGCGGCAGACTGCGTAATATGAAGAATTGAAATGCTCCAGATCAAGAGATCACAACTGCGGTGACTTACGTCATCACGATGAAAGCGGAGAGATTGCAGTACGAAAACTACTTTGAATACGACAAAAGGCAGATCGAGTATCAAATGGCTCGATTGTACTAAGTATCTGAATTTGATGTGTTTTGATTCCAGACCATGGAGTTTGTCTTGAACGTTAAGATCATAATCACGAAATGATAACCATGAAACTGTTTTCTCATAACTGGGAAGCAGTGGGCTTCGAAAAAAATAAATGCCGTGTTTTGTGCAAAAATAAATAAAATGTGGATTAAGTCACGTATATTGATATTCACATTCAAACGTGCAGCATGGGAGAAATCCATAGAACAGATACAGAGCTGACTCTGCATCACTCGAGTATATTGAACACCTGACACTGCTGTCCTACAGAATCTAGTATGTAAAAGCTTATCGATTAGGAAAAGACGTAGGTAGTTGCTTAAAACTGTCCATTGCTTCTATATCGTTAATCGAACAGGAATATCGAGTCGAATAAACGGATCGTAGAGGGAGAGGAAAGACAAATGAATTGAAATGACCATGGTCACCACTGTTTATATTGTGTGACACATGTTTAAACGAAACTACCGTTCATAATGGCGTGTGATCTCTCGTTGCCTATGTTAAAAGATCAATGTGTTTCTCTGATGCGCGTGATCCCTTTTGAGCATCACTAATTCCTTTGTTGCCATGTATGTTGTTGATGAAAGAGAAAGAATTTCTCACGTTTACTGAATTTTTCGGACTGGAGGCGGGGGTGAACTTCATTCTCTGATTTATGTCCCCATTCAGCGTACATAAGATCTAAATGCAATGGAATCATTTATCCAATGATTTCGATTCATATTGCTTTGAAACCCACGCTACCTTTTGGCTACGGTCATCACCAATCAACTGTAAATGATCGTGAAATCAAAGAAGAGTTTGCTTATAATACTAATTTTTAGACAGCATGTAATGTATATTAATCGGGTGGAATACTATAAATTCTTATCCTTGCTTCTTATTTAATCATTTCAAACGATTGTTGCAAAACCTGTTTGGTAGTTTGATTTTCTGGAACGCACTGAAAACGGTTACATCTTTTGCTACTCCAGGCATTACTGTCCTTATACAGAGGCCAAATTGGCACACGTTGCATCTACAAAATATCGGTAGATGTTTCGCTTATATTATTATTTAGCACGACGATCGAATACTTGCATTTTAAATTAAGAGGTCATTTGAAGGGATAAATGTGAAATATATCTAGGGATTAAAAGTACAAATCTTATCCTGCTCTTTTGGTCATATCAGAAAATCGTGACTTGATGGGCCTATCAGTGTTATAGCAAGACGGTTGACAATGAATTTTTTAGCATAGACTTCTTTTTGTGCTCTCACCCATGAAGTAACAAGCCAGCTGCAGTTAGAGCGAAGGAAAACAGAATGAAATACTGGCAGAACAGAGATGGTGAAATAATTCTGAGAATTTCTGTCTCATGAAACCGAACCAGAAAAAATTGCATAACTAGCAACGTAAACCAAGAGCGCACTTTCTGGCTCCAAACGCTCTAGCAGCTGCGGCGGATCAGCGGAACGAACTTCAGAAGTCATCCCTGCCCATCTTAATGAAGGTACGTATGAAATGACCCAAAATGTCGGTACTGGTTAATCACCTGATTCACTAATTTGCATGCATTAGGTATGAATAAACTGCTTTCGTATAGTTTTTGGTATGATGACCATTGCATGGACGATATACTGAATATTTGGAAGCTGAATTGTCACGCATTAATACA